TCTTATTTTCTTTCGTCTTCTCTCTGTGATTACCAGACAGGTACCTATAGATCTGAAATGGACGCCCCTTTTAAATATTTTTGAAGACTATTTTTTAGATCTGGCACTATACCCAATGTTATTAGGTGTCCTTTATATAATTTGTAAATTTATTTTTCTTTATTACATTTATTTATCCAACTTGTATAGGTGGAGTTAAAGTCGATTTCTGCACGAGAATTTAAAATAATCCTATTTGGTTTTTTCGTAGTGTGGGATTTATTTTTTTAATTTATTAAATGCTTTATACTAAAGGATAAGCTTTCTCTCAAGCACAAACTTTAAAAATCAATACAAGGACACATTCTATAGAAAAGTCGTAATACCTATAATCTATATTTTATGTGATATACATATTTGTGATAAACCGTTAGCTACTTTGCTACAGCATCAAATTTATCGAGGTTACGAGAGGACTCAACAAGTTCATGACACATACAAATTATTTAAAACAGAATAAACTATATTAAAATGTACGTAACAATAATATTTTTACTATCATGTAACATTTATACACTTCAAAATCAAAACTAATAATATATTTTTATTTTTATTCGTTTTCAATAAATTCAGTCATTATTGTCAATTTATTGACATTTTATTTTTAGTATCAAATTGTTGATCTTTATTACGGTGATACATTTATGTTATTTATTATTCATATATTTTATTAGGAAATTATTATTTCATTTATACAAAAATATCAATRCATACATAATTAAAATACACAAAATTATCTATCAGAAAATATTTTTAGTATTGTAAAATGTAGCCCTCCYATCGAACGACGCGCTCCTGGTGGCAGAATAACCGTGCGCTTTTTGTTTGGCCTCGACCACTTAATGTTTATAAACGGAGTTGTCTCCTTATCTCTATTCTCTAATATTCATGTTCATGATATTAATTTTTATAATTTATTCATCTGTGAATAGTGTGAATTCTGTGTGACTATGTTATCGTACTGTCAAAGTGTCGGTTATTTAACTTAACAGACAGAAACACTTAACGTTTTGAACTTATGAAGTATTCCCTATACTTCCGGGATCAGGCATTTCGATCTTCATCTTTCGTCAGCCGCCGTCTAGAGCCTAGGCCCTAGATATCGGTGGTTGTCAATTAATCAAAAATAATAATAATCGAGATGTTTCCTTTCAATGTTTGGATGTTCCAAATCTAAACTTTAATTAAAAACCAGATCCTAGGATTTATCTTAAGTGAAGATTACAATTATTTTCTAACTTCTCAATCAATATCCCAGAATACTTCAAAAGTAATTGGTATGTTATTTGTTTTAGATTTGCTTGCTTGTATAAATATAATATTTAAATTTTGTATTTTATTAGTGGTTTGATTGTGTTCGTGTAGCCTTCAATGTGTACAAATATAAAATACAAATTTGCCATGTGCCTATCCAATCTTTGTTCATTACTGACTTCATCTAAAATCAGAGRATATCATACAATGTCTACAAATTGAAATGATTACTGATTTCCCATTAATTTAATTTAATTTGACCCAAAACATTAATTATTTCCCTAATATTGGGTATTCAGGTTATTATTTTTTTTTAGAAATTATGAAGTTTAAGAGTGGTTTCAGTCCTTACTATTTGACCATAATTTTATCCTCATTTATATCAATCTCATATTTATAAAAGAATTGTGTCTTAAATTCTGAATATTTTATTTTTCTTAGGTTTGACTTGGTGCTAACTAAGCTTACCTTGTTTTTATACCTTTATTGCATACCATTTGTCAAATCGTCAAATATAGTATAAAATAGGTTAATTTTTGTAAATTGTATGTACACCTACTAACCTATTTATGCACTAAAAACTGGAGAAAAAAATGCATTTATATACATAAAAAATGTTAAACTATACACAATAAGAACAAATTTAAGCATTTATTGATCTAACTTTTTTTGAACTTCCATGAAAAACAATTTTGCTGAATTCACATAAATTTACAATAAACCTAAAAAATCATCTATATGCCAAAACATACACTATAAAACTTTAAATTTGTATTGTCATTGTTATGAAACTGATTTGTATTTCACTTAGCATATTTTCTGATGTGGCAAAAAAAAAATGAAAATGCATTAACTTACGAGCCCTGTCCATTACTTACTAAGTGTCAAAATGACTATGGAATGTTATTGTGGTAAAAACCAACTGATCACTGATATCAATAAGATATATTTATTTTAATCGAATCGACTAATTTAATGGTTAAATGACTATCAATATTGATTAATATTGATTATTTACTAAACTAAATCATTTCATAGTGATATTATTTATGTTTTTTTTTCTAATAAGATTATTTTCTGTTGATTATTATAACTAACAATATATACTTAAATTGCTTTTACTTTTGTTTTAGGTCATACTGGTCATTAAAATTATTTATATTTTACTTCATTGAATTATGGAACTTAATTATGAAAAGGAAYCATGCACTGTAAACATGCCTAATGAAAAAGTCCCAGATCAAAAAGTAGATTTTAATGAAGTGGAATATGTCGCTGTAAAAAAAATCGAAGAAAATAATGTTTATGTTGATTATGAAGATGAAGTTGACATTGACGGAGAAGATCAAATAATGCCTGGCAATATGCGTTTAATGGCAGAAATTTCGTTGTGTGATATAGGAGAAGATGACTGGTTAATTGATGAAGATAGTGATCACTCTATTGAATCTGATTGTCGTGTCCCACCTTCTAAGGAGTATTATAAGAAGTATATAAATACTAATCCAAAATCACTTAATATGGTTACTAAAAAAATGAAAAACACAACCATTAACTCTAAAACACATGAACCAATTTCTAGTGTCAAAAAAACTAAAGAAAAATCAGATTTATCATCTGTAAAAACGATTAAACATCTACAACATTTGACTAATTCAAGTTTAAACAAATTAAATCACCCACCACGTTCAGACGTACCAAACCTATCATGTTCAACGAGCATACCCAGTCCATCAGGTTCAACCAATGTACCTAGTCCATCATCTTCAGTAAATTTATCTGATTCATCAAGTTCAACCAGCATACATGGTCCATCATGTTCAACCAGCATACCTGGCCCTTCTTGTGTTTTTCCATCTCGTAAATTTCCTAATTTATTTGATTCACCTGATATTAATTTGAGTAAAGAACAACAAATACTACTTATAAGTCATTTTTACAAAAAATCATTTTTGAATGTTAATGATAAACAAGAGAATAATGAACTAAACCAAGATATTAAAATATCAAAGTTAGAAGACTGTGATTGTTTAAAAGAATATTTATTAGAAAATACACACTTAAAAAATACTGATGAAGAACCAGAAACTGAAAATACTGAACTTTCTAACTGTTTTGTAGAAGATCCAGATATTGTTAACCCCGATATAATGTACAATATTGATCTTAATGAATATTATAATGAGTTGGATCTTCTAGCTTTAAAAATTTTAAAAACACCTGACGATCCAACAGGATTGGTCGAATACAAGCAATTGCCTCCTATTCCTCAAATTGAACAAACACATCGAAAGTTTACTGCAAACGAACGGCTTAGATTTGCAAATGGTATTTCAGAATGGGAGTATCAAATTGATCGCGATGACTGGAATAAAATAATGGTAAAACGATCTGTAGTATTCACAGCTCATGCGGGATTTAGTATAGCTAATGAAGAGAGCTTATATGTATTAGCAGATGTAGCTATTGACTATGTAAAAAAATTGGCTGTTATTATGAAAAAACATTTTGATATTCAAGCAGACAACCCATTTCCAGATAGTATTGATCCAATTGATAATAGTCTTCAAGAAGTGAGCATAATATTTTTTTATCTATTTTATTTATTTTAATTGCATGTGGTATTTGACCAATTACTATTGCATTATAATAAAAAAGCAAGACATTACAATTATTAACAATATATTAAAAAAATATAAGAAAAGTACATAAAAAAACTGTTAAAAATATAGAAAGAGGGTCTGCGTTATCTAAGTGCCAATGTAAATATAGCATACTAAAGGTTCATTTAGTCCATAGTTTGTTAATGATGGTGGATATTATATTATAATCATGATTTGAACTTAGGTATAAAACTTAAGAACATGATATTAAGCTCTAATATAAGTATATAAAAAAAACCGTTTAATGTGCATCTTAGAATTTTTCTTTACCACAAAAATTTAAAATATATGTATATAATAATATTCACAAATGAACAAAACAGAATGAATAACTAACTGCCTATAGAATATTTAATCAGCCACAGGTTTAGTCATCTATCAGCCATCCAAATTATTTATCAAGATTAATGATAGATATTGTATAAAAAACAATATTMTATTAAAAACAAATATATATGTATATATTTATACCTAACCTAATAAAAATAATTTTATT